AAGCAAGAGTCCTTATAATACGAGTGATTTCTTCTTATAGAAAGTGTATCTTATATTCTTGAATTTATTTCACCAAAAAAATGGGATCTATTTCGACAATGGATTTCGATTCTTCTTCATCACCTAACCAAATCCATGTAATGCTCGTTTCGTTTCAAGGACAAGGCCATGTCAATCCTCTTCTTCGTCTTGGTAAGCTCATTGCATCAAAGGGTTTACTCGTTACCTTCGTTACTAATGAACTTTGGGGGAAGAAAATGAGACAAGCCAACAAGATCGTTGACGGTGAGCTTAAACCGGTTGGTTCTGGTTTAATCCGGTTTGAGTTTTTCGACGACGAATGGGAAGAAGAAGATGACCGGAGAGCTGATTTTTCTTTGTACATTTCGCATCTAGAGAATGTCGGAAAACGAGAAGTGTCCAAGCTTGTTAAGAGATACGAGGAAGTCAACGAGCCGGTCTCATGTCTGATCAATAACCCATTTGTCCCATGGGTCTGCGACGTGGCGGTCGAATTCAACATTCCTTGTGCAGTGCTTTGGGTCCAGTCTTGTGCTTGTTTCTCTTCTTATTACCATTACCATTACCAAACTGGCTCTGTTTCTTTCCCTACAGAAACGGAGCCTGACCTAGATGTTAAGCTTCCTTGCGTTCCACTCTTGAAGCACGACGAAATCCCTAGCTTTCTCCATCCTTCTTCTCCGTTTGCCGGTTTACGTCAAGCGATTCTTGGACAATTCAAGAATCTAAGCAAGCCCTTTTGCGTCCTGGTCGATTCATTTGACGCTTTGGAACAAGAAGTCATCGATGACATGTCGAAACTCTGTCCAATCAAAACCGTTGGACCGCTTTTCAAAGTCGCTAAAACCGTTACCTCTGATGTAAGCGGTGACATATGTAAACCGACGGATAAGTGCCTCGAGTGGTTAGACTCGAGGCCTAAATCATCCGTGGTCTACATCTCGTTTGGTACGGTTGCTTATTTGAAGCAAGAACAGATCGAAGAGATCGCTTTCGGAGTTTTGAAATCGGGTTTATCGTTCTTATGGGTGTTTAGACCTGCACCGCATGATTTTAAAGTAGAGAATCATGTCTTGCCTCAAGAATTGAAAGAAGCGAGTTGTAAAGGTAAAGGAATGATTGTGGATTGGTGTCCACAAGAGGAAGTCTTGGCTCATCCTTCAGTGGCGTGTTTCGTGACGCATTGTGGATGGAACTCGACAATGGAGGCTATGTCTTTAGGAGTTCCGGCGGTTTGTTGTCCGCAATGGGGAGATCAAGTGACGAATGCGGTTTATCTGATCGATGTTTTCAAGACGGGAGTGAGGCTTGGTCGCGGAGCGACTGAGAGAGTTGTCCCGAGGGAAGAAGTTGCGGAGAAGCTTTTGGAAGCGACCGTTGGGGAGAAGGCGGAGGAGTTGAGGAGAAATGCTTTGAAATGGAAGACGGAAGCCGAAGCCGCGGTGGCTCCCGGAGGATCGTCGGATAAGAATTTCCGGGAGTTCGTGGGCAAGTTAGGTGTGAGAGTGACCAAGGTTAAGGAGAACGGAGACTAGACAAAAGTGTGAA